CCAAACCCAGCAGCACCCCAGGTGTCCCCAAGTCAGCTGCTGCTGAAACTTATCAGTGGCTGAATCCAGAAAGCCAGAGGCAGAGCTGCTCTGCCCTGGGCTTCCTGGATTCAGCGGCTGAATCCGGGACAGCTGGGGTGCTGCCGGGTTGGTCCCGCAGCCCTGAGGGGCAGCGCTACTGGACCTACCCAGCAGCACTCCAGCTGTTCTACCCCCTGCTTCCTGGATTCAGCGCTGGTCAGTTTTAGCAGCAGCTGAATTGGGGAAGCTGGGGGCAGAGCAGCTCCAATGGTCCAGCTGCCCGGAGCACTTCCGGGTTCCTGATGGTGCCGGACCATCAGGAGTGCCGGACCGTCAGATGCCGGACCATCGGAGTATTACTGTAAATATGTTAATATTCTAAGAAAAAAAAAAGAGGAAAAAATAAAATTAAAAGCCAACAATTGGTCCTGTAGCACCTGCTTTTGTGGACGCAACTCATTTCTTCTGTGCCTGTCTCCACCCATCTAAAGTGAGTTGTGCCCATGAAAGCTCATGTGTATGCCCAAAAGGTGCTACAGGACAACTCATTTTTTTAAAATTACAGATTAACATGGCTACCCCCATTAGACTTTCACACACATTAAAGAGGCTAACAATGTTTTCCCAAACACAAACATTTCTTCTAAAAAAATTCCAATATAATTAATTCCCTGGTGATAACTGATAGCAATGGATGTGCCAGGATTCTCCAGCATTAGGGAATGACTTGTCACTTGAGGCCATTCCAGTAAAATTAAGATGCATAGGTTTTTTTTCCTTACAGTGTAATCTGCCACAGAAAAAGATGACTCTGCCCAGTTTTTTTAACATGCAAGACAAGTTGTAGCACTATTTTTTTTTTAAAAAAAAAATCTATTTGCAACCCAAATCAGAGTTAAATATTCAAAAGATTCAAAAAAAAATTCTTGGTAAGGTATGTTAAAAATTCATTTTAGCTCTGGAAAATGAAGCTGTGTCTAGCCATCAGACAGGTACATAATCAGTTGGTAGTACAAGTTCCTTTGGAACAATTCCTCACACCATCAAAAAGGAACCATTTGTCTGTTCATTCTTTTCCTATTCAGGGTGTCAAACAGGGCTCCAGTTGAGATCTGGACTCTGCTCATTCAAATAGATTAAGATCTCCCTTTTCATATCTGCTACT